AAAGCTTAAGAGGGTATTTAATATTTCATCTAAGAGGCAGATGTTATCTATATTTGCTATAAACATTGCAGGTAATGTTTTATTGCAAAAGCGTCTATGACTATTTTTTTCACATTTCCTTCTTGTATTATAAATCAATATTCTTAACCACATTGCTTTCAAACATTTTTAGGCGACGTTATGTAACTATATGTTATGCGTAGAGAATCCGGTATTTACAAATACTGTCTAATAGAGGAAGCACTGATTCCACTACATATGACTTCATCAAGTGCTATATACCCTCTTATCTATACTTTGATGACATTAAGAACAGCCGTCACAAGTACAATTCATAAAATATTGTATAATACCGATTCTGGAGATAGTGAACATAGTTCTGGCGAAATGACAATAACTGTTTCGACTCCCAAAAATTTATAGAATAGAGTTCGATTTCATGTATATAATTATTAATAAAAAATTTTTCTTGACAAAAAACCTATTTTCATCAATTTGATGGTCATGATGTCACGTGAAATTCTTGATCGACAACTGCAAAGAAAATAACGAAATGTTTCATGAATTAGCTTGACTACTTTTTTCCTTGCGCTTCTGCCTCACCTTTATCTCTTTCTGCAGGTTTAGTGGAGTGTCAAACCTTAGACGGATTGCAAGAGGATCATCTTCTGACCTAGTGAGATCAAATACAACAAACTCACCCTTTTTGCGAAGATAGCTATTAATGACCATTGATGCATTTTTTACATCATCGGTATAGCGTTTAATAATTTTAGAGATATCTTCATACGAGTTACCAGAATTAAAAAGTACTAAGTAATTGGCATTTTCACGTATAAACATATCTATTTTATGATATTTCTGTGTTACATATATGCATGAAACATTCCGATGTCGACCATTCCCAAAAAATTGGCTGATTTGTTTCTGTACATGCTCTGGAGCAAGACATAAATCCTCAAAAATAATTGCTGTGTTTCTCTCAGGCGAAAATGATCTTGTACTGGAAATTTTTTCAGGTGAGATGTATTTGAAAGTAATATTTTCATAGTAAGGCGCTTTTGGGTCTTTTGAAATTATGCTATACATATGTCTTATGAATGCCCATTTTGGTTCATCAGGATGGTAACCGCAAACTATCAAATCATCACATGCAATATATCTAGACCCGCCTTTTTTACCTTTATATATACATTCAGGTATATCACCAAGAAAAAGATTCGCCAAAACATTAGTCTTACCTATTCCACTTATCCCTGTGACCACCATACTAAAGGGCAGTCAGGACTCGTTTCATGGCCTTTCGCCCGAGATGACGTATGCTTAGTAGCCTCATCCATATCTATAAGGTAAAGTTTCATATGGAGTAGTCCTGTCTTTTGGTTCTTCTGCGTATTGGATTGGGAATGCATAACCTTGATTTCTATTTATAGGTATTGTATATTTTGGAAAAATTTCTTACTTTTTATCAGAGCGAAAAAAACGTCTATATATATACCATATAATTAGTATAATCACTAAAGCAAGAATCATGAGTTCGAATATAGGCAGAAGCATATACTGATTATCAACTAAAGCCTTACCAGCTCCTAATACAACAATGGGTGAGGCTGAGATATCATCATGTTTTTCTTTTGATTTTTGATCAACATGAAGATGGTCTCCTTGGGACTCTATCTCATCTTTTACTTTGCTTTCATCAGGTTCAGACTCTGAGCAGTGTGAAGAAAAATGGGATACCTCTTCTACTGCTTCACCTCGCTTAGCCAAAGGCGCTAAAGCATAATCATTGGATGATGAAACTGTATCTGCTTCTGCACTACCTATTTTTGAATCATTAATTGACTGATG